TCTGATCTGAAGCGGGCAGAATGCTGAGCTAACGAGCTGTAGCTTCGCCTCAGGTTTTTCTTGCCTTCATGTCGTGCATTAAAATTGTTCAATGTACAGCAAGCCGTGCCTTATGTATTTGCTCTTTAGCAGCAGTTTTTTACAGCAATATTTAATTGACACCCTGGTCATTCTTGGTGTAGCCAAAATGGTCCCACACTATCGACAAGCATTTCTCTGGTGGAAATAAAGCTTCGCTGTTTGGTTCCTCTGTCAGTTCATCTAATGCATGTAGTAGCCTCCATGCCTCTGATAAGCACGTCATTTTAAGCTGGTGCACCGCTAGTGTAACTTCTTTCATTTCGCGCAAGCTGCAACAGTTCCGTTCCGTGTAACAGAAACACTCGGTTTAGCGGAACCTTTACGATTAATTAACCGTGATGTTTTAAAGCGTGGTTAATTGTGAAACCGGATAATCGCTGCATCCCTATATGTGTGGCTATCAGTCACCGCACCAGTTTGGATATTCACTGTACTTAGGAATCACAGATTCTAGGTCTTTGAAGTATGATCCCAATAAGAATTTTCACCAGAAATGTCATCTGAACAAGTAAGTAACATGTCTGCCACTTTTGTTCTGACCAACTGATGTTCTGGTGTTGTTCTGGTGATGATGTTTTAAAGCGTGGTTAATTGTGAAACCGGATAATCGCTGCATCCCTATATGTGTGGCTATCAGTCACCGCACCAGTTTGGATATTCACTGTACTTAGGAATCACAGATTCTAGGTCTTTGAAGTATGATCCCAATAAGAATTTTCACCAGAAATGTCATCTGAACAAGTAAGTAACATGTCTGCCACTTTTGTTCTGACCAACTGATGTTCTGGTGTTGTTCTGGTGATTAAATCTAACAATCGCTTAGCTCATATCACATCAAACCATGCAAATTATTATTATTGTTATACTTTGTTCTCAAAATGTTAATGTTAACAACATCAGCATTACATGACCACATGTATTTAGTGTGTATTAGTGTTACCTATAGACTAGTGGTGAATTGTCACAGATGATTGTTGCATGGAACTTTCTGGATTACAATTCGCCATCAAAATTATAAATTGTATTATTCCAGCTGCTGTGAGAAAAGACTTATTAATGATCAGCCACCTGCAGCATCCTCACGTGCGATATAGTCTACTAGCCGGGACTCTTTCTTTATGTTTACAGACGAGACGTAAAGACGAACGGCGCACTGTATTTGTATTGCACTTCCAGCAAAAACCTACCATTACCACTCAAATTAGAAAACATTACAAGCTTACCATTGTGAATTTGGCTAAGGTAAGGAGATAGTTTTAAACACTGGCTAGTTAGGTACGTGACAAAAAAATTATTTTGGTTCATTTTTAACCAAAAAAAAGTTATGGACTGCAGCTTTAAAATACACATCAAGTTCTTAAAAAATGAACAGGTCAAGGGAGCTTTGTCATGTCGCTATATGTAGAAACATACAATGGAACCAACCTTGCAGGACTACAGTACAGTACATACAGTATTTAAAAATAAATATAAATTAAAAAAATAAACCATAAATAAACAAGTATAAACATACACATGGCTAACCTACTAAAAGAAGTAATCTAACTATGCATATTCTTGACATAAATACTTTATATGCACTTTGGGTTTCTCATGTAAAGTGGTACAAATAACTAAATGTAATCATTCTGAAAATGTGATGAGTTGTAACCATTAAGTAAAAAGCAAATACATTTTTTCTTAGATCTTCAATCCATGTGAGTGTACACATTCTAATCATTATTTTAAAAATAATAACTTAACTCAAATTTATTTTTCAAGGTAAAAAGTATTTTTTATCATGGTTACACTTTTGGGGTGTTGCATCACATCTGAACTAATTTTATGGTTTTATTAAAAGGTCAAATATGATATTTCCAGAGACTTACTGACCTTGACACAGTCCTGAGGGTCTGCAGTCCTCTCTACGATATAATTTACATGTTTTATGTTTGATTCTGCATGTTGATTGCCCCACATGACTTTGATTTGGTGTACAAAAGTTGATCAAATATTAATAAAGTATTTTTTCTAAAGAATTATATTAATAAAGATGAAAGAAACAATGCCAAACTATTTTAAAAAGCCTTTTCTTTTATTATTTCAATGAGGTTTTTCTGTAATCATTAAGTAGTGTATTCAAGTCATTATGTCACTGCCTTTTATAGATACCAATAGGTTTATCAGTAACTGAAATAGAGTCAATATATATGCAGATATATTTTTCCCCCAGGTGAGTATTACTTCAAGTAAGTCAAACTCTGCATTTGTATACCACTTTTCACAATACACATAATTTCAAAGCAGCTTTATAGAGTTTCATCATTTTTAATACCTAAATGTCCACATTTAGCAGTTTAGACCAGAACGATAATATAGTTTACATTTGACGATATAAACAATTATACATTGACAACATAAAGCTGCCGAGATTTGTTCTATACAATTTATAACACTTTTGCGTGTGGCTTATAAGTAAAAATGAAAGTTCTTTGAATCTCAGGAAATTTGCCAAGACTGGTCTTTTTTCAAATCACATAGGAACAATCCACAAGTACAACCAGGATGTTTTTCATTTGATGGGTCCTGTATGCTATTTCCCTGCTAAGTTCAGCAAAGATATGCTTCTGCTTATCAGAGACTACATGCCATGAGTGCCGATTACCCTACTTTCCTCTGCCTCTATAAATGCTCCCATGCAAACTGATAACATACAAAATGAGTTGCTCCACTCTAATCTTCTTTCATTTTCTTGTCTACCTCTGGATTGGCTTTCAAACAAAATACCAACAGACACTGGACAGGGCACCAACAACCATTACCCATGCGTTATACTCTGATATCCACTGTCATGCCAGAAAATATCTATGCAAAGGAGATAAATGAGTGCCAAGACTGTATCTTTGCAAGCCTTTTAAATGTCAGCTCCCACACTCTTTGAGGAAGTCAGTGCTGCCCTTACTAAAAACAGAAGTGATCGCAAACTATTTCCCTAGAAACACTCGAGAATGCACAGCAGGAGCAGGAGGTAGTTTGTGAACTGAGTGGACTTTACAGTGACTCCTTGACTGTTTACCAAGCATAGCACTGGATGAAGTGAGTGCCAGCCTTAAAGGAGGGGGCAGGGGAAATGCCTGAGATTTTGCTCCACTTTCTGTCCTCCTCCATTTCATTTGTTAGCCCTTTGCGTCTTTTACTCAGGGACTATTCAAATAAAATGAGTGTAACACAGCCAGCTATGTCCTTCTGGAAACAGCTAAGTGTAACCACATTCAAGAGCTCTAATATTTCTTTCAGGCATTGTTGACTAACATGAGCAGGGAATTTGCATGCAGTCCATTTGCATCTAACAGAACATTTCTGTCTATTCACTGAGAGCAGCTTTGCTGGTCTAGGTGTGCATATAAATTCAGTCTAGCAACCAAAAAGCAACAGAATTCATAGTGGATGTGACATCAAGTCCTACGCTTTGAGAAACTCACTGTATATTATGAAATGAGCACTTGGAGCTCAAATAAAAATAAAAAAAAACCAGCTGGCTCACATAATTTAAACCAGTTGGTGGAAACACTTTAAGCATGAGTAAATTAATAATGTCACATGTCGCTTCTTACCTTCCTCTCTGGAGAAATAAATGAGATTCTCTGCCATTTGAAGCTCTTGCTGTCCATTTGAGTCAATACTACCAAGAGAACCACTTCCTCCCTTAGAGCGATAGAGACAGAGAAAGAAAGTGAGATAGAAAGACAGAGATGCAGAGGTGCACTCTTAAAAATAAAGGTGCTTCACGATGCCATAGAAGAACCTTTTTGTCTAAATGGTTCCATAAAGAACCTTTAACATCTGAAGAACCTTTCTGTTTCACAAAAGGTTCTTTGGGGCAAAATAAGGTTCTTCAGATTACAAAAAGGTAAGAAAGAGATGGTTCTTTAAAGAACCTTTGACTGAATGGTTCTTTGTGGAACCAAAAATGATTCTTCTATGGCATCGCTTGAAGAACCTTTTGAAGCACCTTTATTTTTAAGAGTGTAGTATAGAGACAGCTGTGTCCTTCCCTTTGGAAATGAACAACATGTCTGGAATAGATTTTCATGTTTCAGAACACCTTAAGACATGGTTAAAAGGTTATTATACTTGTCAAATAGTTGAATAGAATTCATCCATGGTTAAGCCTGTAAAACGACACTCAATCATTGATTTATAGTTTTTTTTTTCTACCTATAAATAAAAAAAGCTTCTGAGCTTTCAGGGGGTATAAAAGTCTTAAAGGTTGAATCACATGAAGAAATGTCCTGGTCATATAAAACAATAATTAAAAGGCTATTATTAAGATTATTTATACAGTATTTTTATTAAATAGTAATATTTATTTATTTATTGTCTTACGTTATGCCTTCAAAATTCTCACTGCTGGACAATTTTATTCCCATTATGTATTTTTTATTTTTATTAAAATGAGCGAATACTATTAGGAGCGAATCCTAATATAATTTCTTTGAAAAAAGTGTCACATTTCTCTCATTCTTCTCAAAGTCACAAGTGTTGACTACATTGAACCTTGAACCTTTAAAAATCTCCATGACATCTCACCTGAAAAGCAATCTCGCACATCTTCTCCACCCACTCATTGGTAATATTTTTCTCAGCTGCAAAGACATAGGTCTTGTCATTGGTCTCCACACAGAAGGCGGCCATGTTTTCTTTGGGGCAGGTTTCAGTGACAGCAGGAAGTATGCTGATGCATTCTGACAGACGAATGATCTTCTTGTCCATTTTCTTAGTGCTAGGTTTATCATTAGCGCTGCCCGAGCAATCATAAAACTCAAGCCGTGCAATGCCGTTTTGACTCGCTGGGTAGAGTACAAACCAGTTCTTCTTCCATTTCTAAAAAGGAGAGAGGGATAAGAGGAAGTTTTTACTCTTCGATGAAGAACCAGCAGTGGCTTGAGGGAATTCAACTATTATTCACTTATGGGTCTAAAAATATATAAAAATACATGCACACAGAACTATTTCTGTTAGTTTGAATTTTAACAGAAACATACACAAAATATAGGCTATGTCGAGTCATGTTGCCTCAGGTTGCTAACCATATTAAAGTCTTCATTAATTGGAAAATCACTCCATCTATTTTCTTTTTCTACATTTTTTTTCTTTTTTATGTTTTTGAGCCTGTCATTTTTCATCAAAATGTTAATTACACAATGGTAAACTTCTCTCTGCTAATGTATGTTGGACTTCTCCAATTGGTTACCTTAAAATCGATTTCATGATCACTTTCAAATATGCCATCCAATCAACAACCAAAAGACAGAACCAAGTCACCACCCTATTTTTTTTTTGTTGTTGTTGTTATTTTTCAATGATTCTTTTCACTTTGATATACTGTATGTCACAATATGGAAGAAAACTTGTTAGATTGTGACTTTAAAAATGATCAGCTTCTAGGTAGTTGCAAATTATTGTTGATGTCAACACCATTTAATCAAGGCCAAATTTATGTCACTTTCTTTATTTCGCATCTGGATCATAATGCTGAGGTCAACAAGAGGAACTTGACAATGACTTTCAAGCCCCTTCCTCCAGATGGACAACGAAAAGCAAATTCTGCAGCAAACAAAATATATCTATGTGTATACGGATGTGTGTGTGAGAGAGAAAGAGTTTGGGTCAGTTCCTCACATTGTTTGTAATGTAAGAAAAAATAATGACCTTAAAAAATGTTTCTAGCTGATTTACTATTGCGATGCAGATAATTTACTAATGCCGTGGCGTGTACACACTACTAAAGCCAGGCTAATACATGAAAAGGAATAAAGCATTGTGATATCATAAATGGGTCATATATATATACTGTATATACAGTGCCTTGTGAAAGTACCCCTTCATTTTTTTTCACGTTTTGTTATGTTCCTGCCTTATGTTAAACTGCTTTAAAGGGGTCATATGATGCGATTAAAATTTTTCCTTTCTCTTTGGAGTGTTACAAGCTCTTGGTGCATAAAGAAGATCTGTAAAGTTGCAAAGACTAAAGTCTCAAATCCAAAGAGATATTCTTTATAAATTTAAGAGTCAACCACGGCTACCTAAAACGGCTTGTTCTAGCACGCCCCCACATGTCTACGTCACGATGTGAGAAGATTTGCATAACGCCGTCCAAATGTTCACGCAAAGAAAGAAGGCGTAACTTTGATTCTCGCTGTAGTATTGTTGCTGCCGCCATGTCGAGACGCTGTGTGTTTCGTTGAGAAAGCGAAAATACTTTGGCCTTCCAAAATAGGACGATATCCACTTCGTCATGCCTAGAGCTGATCCGTGCTGGTTGCTGAGGAAATACATTTACTTCGCGCTGTGGATCGCCGGATTGGCTTTCACCGTTGATGAAGCGGAGTCCAGCCTGGGGTCGTCACATGTGGTTGCTGCAAGCCCGCCGGCCGCCGCTCACTCTAGCCTGCTGTGTGTTTCGTTGTGAAAGCGAAACTACTTTGTTTGGTCTTCCAATAGAGGACAAGACTAGAAATCAGTGGTTACGTTTTATTTACAACACTGTTCCAGAACAGTTCAACCCCAAAATATTGAGATAGCCTAAATTAAAACCCAGTCCAGAGCATTCAGAACCTCAGACTGGGCAGAAGGTTCACCTTCCAACAGGACAATGACCCTATGCACACAGCAAGAGTCAATTATAGACAACTCTGTGAATGTCCTTGAGTGGCCCAGACAGAGCCTGAGCTTGAACCCAATCAAATATTTCTGGAGAAACCTGAAAATGTGCATCTGCCCCCATCCAACCTGACAGAGCTTGAGAGGTGAAGAGGTGAGGAGAAGAATGGCAGATAATTGCCAAATGCTGATGAGCAAAGCTTTTCGCATCAAACAAAAAAAGACTTGAGACTATAAAGGTGCTTCAGCTAAATATTTAGTTAAGGGTATGAATACATATGCAGTTAATACTTAGTTTTTTTTATAAAAAATTACGAAGTTGTGACAGTTCTGTTTTTGCTTTGTCAATATGATGTATGGATTGATGTGGAAAAAAAGTAATTTAAAGCAGTTTAACATAAGGCAGCAACAGCTTACTTTCGCAAGGCACTGTATATATGATTGACAGCTCAAGTGTTTAAAGGGAGCATTCTTTAATCACTTTCTGTTTTTACTTTGAATAACAATATGAATGTTTTTCATTTTATTTTATGTGAGGTCCATGTGTAATATCGGTAGAATTTTTTACATCAAATGCAGTCATAATTTACTCTGTTTTTGACACTTTGGTTTAAAAACTGTTTAAAGGGTTTTCTCTCCTTTCTGCTATCATTGAGAAATATCTTCACATATAAAGTAAGAATGATCCAAGTTAAACCATTGAAATGCAGATGTGATTACAGTTGCAATGATTAACTTATTGTGAAAATAAGTTAAAGTTAAGTTAACTTTAAAAGCGCGCATTACAGTATTAATACTGCACATTGTAGCCAGTGTTGAACACATGAATGAATTGCCTGAATTTTGTTCAGCACAAGTTCACGTACTTTTGAGAATGCTCTCATCATAACCATCATAATGCAGTGTAGACAGATTCAACGATAACGGGAGTTTTGGCAAAAAAGCAGAACTTGCACTAAAATGATTGATAGCTCAAGTGTTTAAAGAGAGCATTTTTTGATCACTTTCCTGTTTTTAATTCGAATAACAATATAAATGTTTTTCATTCTAAAAGGAACAATATGAAGTTGACCGTTCAGATGATGTCTTCTTTAACTGACACATAACAGAAATAAATGATTTTGCAATAGAACAGCAGACTACATGATTCCTTAAATATAAAAACAATCATTTATCACAGATCAGGCTTTAGATTTAACATGGTTACTGACATGTTATGGCATTATAGTTATTCACAACTAAAAACTGCACATTTGGATAACTTGGCATCTATATCTTTTTTTATTCCAAGCTGTTGTTGGCAGCTTGGTTTCAATAAAAACTGTTTTTACTAACAAGGAAGTTTCATAGTACAATTACTCTCTTATATTTCAAAAGATCAAGGAAGAGTAGATTTCTCAATTCTCAATCTGAAGGTTTAGCTCACCCAAAAAATATGAAAATCAACATTTACTCATCCTCATATCATGTAAAGTAATCACGTCACTTCCGAAAAGTTGGATAAAACTGCTAGATTCATATAGATTCATTTTACGAGCATCAAAGTTTAGGTGGAATGGACTTTAATCTGTAATCTGAAAAACATGAGTTTACAGTAAACCATTTGCTAAATATGAAACTCTGTGAAATGTTACACTTTCACTTTAATGGCAATCCTACCTCGCCACAATTCTATTCACAAGTCTACATTCCTCAGTAGTAACTTTCAGCGTACTGAATAGGAGTCTTGTTGAGTCATTGAAGCATCCATCTGCCTTAATCAACCGCTTGTACACAACAAGACAGTCATAAGAGTTCACCCATCAAGTGAAGGGTTAATGTTCTGCCAATTACCAATTCCAAGGAGAAGCTTAAGATAACACAATACAATAAATCACAAATGTCTACATTTTAGACAGAATCCAACACCTGACCACTGTACAATGCCAAAAGCTACTGTAGAGACTGTCAATGTGGTATAAAAGATGCATGAGATTACCCAGCATGCGCTGTTTCCTCCACACACTGCAAGTGTTTGTGTATCTATGTTCCTTTTAAAAACTGGCCCTTTTATCTAACTTGTGCATTCAGTGAGGACTGTACCAACAAGACTAAACCAACACCAATGGATACAAATACAAACCTTGGTTTAACTAAACGCTACATAAAATAAATCATACATATCACATTAGATCATTAAATCAATGCCAAAATTAAATGAATCAATAATAAAATAGGGCTGTGTTATTTAATTACAGAGCACCTTGTATAGCCATATAAGGCAACACTTGAGGAATATACTGTGCAGGATGGAAATTATGCAAATGATCAGAAAGAAAGAGAGTGACTGATAACTTCCTCAAATCTGCATCCAAAAGTAATCTGATGAAATGTGTGAGTCTGCTTCTGCACTTTTTAAGAGGCTTCATAATTATGTAAAATAACATAATATACAGCTTATATGAAAATATTATAACAGTAAAATACCTTGAACCTGAAAATACTAGCAATTAAAAAATAATTTCTTGTTGGTAACCATCTACTTCTTGCAAAGCATACACATATAAAACAGTAAAAGTTAAAAATACGACAGTCACAGGGCACACAGTGACTATCCTGTTAATATGTAGCCAAATGTCACAATAAATGTGAATGATTCAGTAACTTCGCAGTTCATACTTCAATATATTTATTTTCATACATAAAGCATTAACTTGATCCCCAACACTGGCACCAAAATGAATTATCCCTTCAGCAAATATTTAGGCCTAGCCATTACCAAATAGGTATTCTGACACTTCCGTTCATGAAACTGGAAATGAACATGGACAAAACATCAAACTTCCATTGTTGTCCAAACACTAATATTACTAGGGTACCATTCAATAGTATAAAATACATCTTAATTCTCAAATAATTAGCAAAAGCTCACATTTCTGAAGCTCTGTGACATGCTTGGAATGACAAAGGAAATATAACTCTTTATTCACAGCACAATGTGAAAAAATTTGGCTTCCCACTTACAAATAAAAATCACATACCAAAAAACAAAGTGTTTGGTGGCTTGACAGATGCAAGTTAAAAACGTTTCACCTTTTTTGTATTTGAGTATGTCTTAGAAAGACAAGTATGTCTTACAAAAAGCAACTTGGAAAAATAGTGAATACTTTAGACTTAAAATATTTACTTGAAATAAGTTAACATTTCAACAATTTAACACTGCAACAGGAACACTCTTATTT